GCCTCCACGCTGGTGCACGGGTGCTGCCCTCGCTCTGCGAGGCTTCGCGTGTACCGTCCGCTGCGTTTTTTTGTCTGGGCGTGTGCCCTCTTGGCGCTCGCACTCTCCGAGCCAGGCCTGGTTCGTCGCTCGCCTCTCTTCGGCCACGCGCAGAGGGGGTAGGTGCAGGGGGGAAGGCGTCTTTAGAAGCACCCTGCTTCTCAGACGGCGCGGGCCTTGTCTGTAGATGTGAGACCCACGCCTTCTAAGAAGCAGCCTCCTAAGAAGCCTTCCCCTCTCCCCCTGCCCCCCACTGTGAGCGCCGCCACTGTCTGACCTGGGCCAGGTTGCAGCAGGTTGCCCTCCACAGGAGCGAGCTGGCCGTCTTGGTCGGCATATGGCCCCGCACGCGCGCCGGCGGCCTGCCAGCGGAGGGCGCGGGACCCGAGGCGTTCCAGGGTTGCCTCGGGCCGTTTGCAGCTCCAGGGCCTCTCCATGGCAGGGAAAGCCACCTCCTCGTCTTCCTGGTCCCCAGGTGGGCCCCATGGCTTCAAGAATGGGGCGCGCAGCTGGGATCGGACGCCCTGGGCCAGGACAAACCTCCAGCAGCACCCGAGGGGGGGACGAGCGTCGGGTGGTACAGTCGACCCGCATAGTAAGGACCAGCGTCTTTCCAAGGGTACCCTAGCATTCTTCCCCTTCGGCCCATCCTTGGCCGCTTTCGCTGGCCGCGCCCCGCTTGCAAAGTGTCGACATGGACGTCCAAGGCCCTTGCATCCTTACCGTTCATCGTTATTTTACGGGTTGACTGTAGCCAGGCGGAGCAGACATTGATGTCGGCTTACCGCCGTCGCCGAAACTCGAGGGGCCCGAATGACCTGCCATCGGGCAGCGCAAGATGACCCCCGCCCTGCGGCAGGAAACCAGACTCGAGATCGGCAGCGAGGGGCAATGCTGCGTTGGCGGTGATGACGACTGTGCCTTCGCGGCGATGATGTTTCGATGGTGCGAATCATCGAGGTTTCGGGCTTGTATTGTTTGGTGTTTGTTGTTCCTACGGGAGGTTCCCCGCCGCCGCGGTATGAATTCAACCCTGAAGCTGTCCAAGAAATCTTCGCGTTGATACCAAACTGTGAGTGATTGCACTGTAGACGTAGAAGCTATGTTGTTGTGCAAGCTTTGCGGTGCTAGCTACGTGGTGTAGTTACCCCGTGTTCACCAAGGAGTTGTCGACTCCTCTGCTCGCGGAATCGTCCCACCTTCGAACCCGCAACTTCTATTGCACAACGCATGTGGCCGCGATGGCGGTGGCTACGTGGCCCTGGCCAGCGCATTTCTGCGGCCGCGCCAGCGTGCGCAAACTCGCACGCATAACGACCAGATGGCTTGGCACAGCCCATGCGGCCGCGATGGCGCTCACCGATGGGAATTGCTCAGCGCGTTCCTGAGGCCGCGCTGCCTCGCGGTCACTTCAGTGCGGGGCGGTGGTTTGGGAGGGCAAGATATAATGATGAAGCCGACAATCTCGGCAACGATGATGCTGGTGCCGATGGTGGTGGAGATGATGACCATGACGGCGGCAAGGGCAATGACAGCGCCGATGCCCAGAACGACGATGTCGATGATGACATCCGTGTGTCGGTGATGAGGGTGATCGATTGACCGATGGTGGCGGCGATGGCGGCGGCTGTCGATGAGGATGACGGCTCGCCAAAACGAGAGAGGCTGGAGTGCTGGGGTCGGAGGGGGTCCCTCGCGCGCGTGAGTGATGGGCCCATTTCCCACCACGACTACCATGGGCAGGAGAGGGAGGAGGATGACGTGGAGGAGGAGAAGGAGGAGGAAAAGGAGGAGGAGGAGGAGGAGGAGGAGGACCTCCTCATCCTCCCTTCTCCCCCGTCCTGCGCGTGGTAGTGGTGGCGGAAAACTGGCCCATCAGCGAGAGCCTTGCGCCGTCGATCGGCGAGACGGCGGCATCGCCCGGCTGCGAGCGGGGAGCGCCGCGCTCGCAGGCGTGCGCGGCGCGCCCAGGGGCGGGAGGGGGGGGGGGCCCATGGCGGCGGCGCTGGCGGGGGGCGGCCCTTGAAGGCCCCTCGCTCCCTCCCTTTCGGCCCTCCTCCTCTCCCGTTGCCTCCGCCCTCGGCCCTACTGCGGGCAATACTTCTATCCACATCCAGACCGTCTTGGACCTTCTGGGGAGGAGCGCCGCAAGGCCAAGGTGCACTGGATGTGGACCAAAATCGAGCTTTTGGGGGGCCAGACTTTTATCCATTTCCAGTGCGCCTCCGTTTTCTGGGGAAGAGAGCCCCAAACTCCAGGACGTTTTGGATGTGGATATAACCATTGCCCGCACCTGCCCCTCTCCCTGTGCCTCCTCCCTCGGCCCTCCTGCCTCCTCCCTCCTCCTCCTCGGCCCTGCTCCCTCCCTGGCCCTCTTCCTCCTCCGTGGCCCTCCTCCTCGGCCCTCCTCCCCCCTCCTCCCTCCTCTCATCCTCCCTCCTGCCTCCTCCTCCTCGGCTCTCCTCTCGTGCCCGTGCCGCTGCCCTTCCTCGTCGCCACGGCTGGACGCGCCTCGAAGTTCCAGCCAGAGCGCCGCACCCCCCGGAAACGTCTGTGGAGTAGCGGTATCGGCATCTGCTTTTGCCCTTCCAGTCCCTCCGCCCTGCCGCCTCTTCCTCCCCTCCTCCCTCGAGGTCCGAGCTGCGGGCAGGCTCGCTGCACGCTTCCCCTCTCCTCCTCCTCCTCCTCCTCCTCCTCCTCCTCCTTCCTCCTCCTCCTCCTCCCTCCTCCTTCTCCTCCTCCTCCTCCTCCTCTCCTCCTCCTCCCCTCCTCCTCCTCCTCACTCCTCCTCACTCCTCCTCCCCCTTCCTCCTCCTCCTCTCCCTCACTCCCCGCCGCCCGGCTGCTGACATGATGCTCCGGTTCCCGCACGTTCAATCGCTCTCCCGCCCAGCGGATGCCGGCGGGGGTCGGGAATCTCCTCCTGGACCGCCGACGTCGTGTTTTTTTTGTTCTCATGCCAGGTGCTCCTTGCCCTCCTCCATGCTTTCTTTCTCCCTCCCTTCATGGCCCGTGTTTCCCACCACCACCACCACATAAAAGTTGGAGGGGGGGAGGAGGTGGAAGATGAGAAGATGACGAGGACAAGGAGGCGGTAGGAACGAGGACGAGGACGAGGAGGAGGAGGAGGAGGAGGACGTGGAAAACAAGCCCACCACTCCCTCCACCATCCCCATGCTGGCTAGCGAGTGCTGCAGGAGTGGCTCGTGGGCCCAGGGGGGGGGGGGGGGCGACTCTTCCTCGCACGGCGCAGGGCCGACGCGACGCAGCTCCCGTGCAGGAGCTTGGTCGGCCTTGGATGGCCAGGCCTCGGTGGTCTGGCGTGGGGCCTTGTGGCTCTGGTGAGGGTGGTCTTTCGTTGCCCGGTGGGGGGTGTCGGCCCCCATTCTTCGAGTAGACGTAAGAGTGACCTTTCGCCACAGTGACCTTTGGTGCGGGCCCAGTGGGGCCCCCCAATCGCCGAACGCGATGCGATAGTGGCGTCTTGCGCGCCTGTGTTTGTTCCCCCCGCAGCCCCCCCAAAGCCGCGCACCAAAGGTCACTCTTAGCCAGGGTCACTCCTGCGTGTAGCCGAATTCTTTCGCTTGCGTGCCATGGGCCATCGAACAGCCGTTTCAGTTGTAGGCGTGGCGCCATGTTTCGGGAGCCCTTGGTCGTCATAATTTGCCTATCCGCCTCCATCCCCTTTCTCTATGTATGAGTAAGACAACTCCTCCCTGTCGCACCCCGGGGCGTTTCGGTAGGGCGGGCCGCACGTCTTGCCTGAGACTTCCGCACCACGTATGACCCTTTAGCTTGACATTCGCAAGAGTTTCACGGATGGGTGGCGGTCTCTGTTTTCGAAGCGTGATTCTTGTTTCAGCGCCACATGCACTAATTTTGAACATAAGCAGGAGTGTCACGGATGAATGGCGGCTTCTTTTCAAAATGTGGCCCTCGCCTTAGCACCGCGCACATTCGTCTTAAGAGTGTATCGCAGTTCCAAGGATTGTCAGGGTTATCGTCCCAGACGATAGCGTTCTGGCACGATGTGGTCGGACTGTGAGGGCGCAGCAGCTACGTGGATTCGCGGTGTTGAAGTCCCAGGAATGGTGTTCTTGCACTGCTCAAGTTTTTCAGCGGTTGTCTTCTAACGAGGCACATTTTTGAATTTGCAATCTTTGTAGGGGCAGATGAACAGGGAACTTGAAGGGAGGGTTCATCACAACATCATTGATGAGTCTTGGGTTTGCACTGGTCCTCCTCCTCCTCCTCATCTCTCCTTTCATCTCCTCTCTTCCACCTCCTCCCCCCCCTCCTGAGCTTCCGGTCCCTTCTCCTGGGCTGGCGTTTTGGCCAGAGGCCGTTGTCTCCTGATGGCCCCGCGGTCTACGCAACGGGGCACCTCTCGGAGGGCGCGGCCCACGAAAGAGAGAGAGCGGGGGATCGAAGAAGCCGGCACGCCCCAGAGGTCGGGGCTCCTGGCAGGGTCTGGTCTCGATCCGGTCGCCCCGTTTCGATGCCGATTCCAGCCAGCCCGATCCGATTGGATTTCGATATCCTGGCGGTCCGAAGGAGGAGGAGGAGGAGGAGGAGGAGGTTTGCATGGTTAGGGGGCCGCATGCGAACCCTGCCCCTACCCCAGACGATTTCTGAAGGGGAGGGTGGGGTTCGCTTCGTTGGGGAGCTCCGGAGCGAAGTGAACCCCACCCTCAGGAATCGTGGGGGGTAGGGGAAGGGTTCGCATGTGGCCCCCTGATGCATGGTGCAGTTGTGCATCCTGGCGCAGCCGACCCGATGGGATCTCCACTCCGTGACCACGTGCCCCTGCGGCCTGATCCGACGCGATGGGGTGCGGCCCGATCCGGCCCCATCCGTACCGATGCAGCCCGATCCGATGCGGCCCGATCCGTCGCCAGATCCGACTCCGCTCGATTCTATACGATTTTCCGATTCAATGTGCTGACTGACCCTGCCAAGGCATGGATGTCGACAGGGACAATTTCGAGGAGGCCCTGGTGGCCATCGAGGAGAGACTTTGCCACTGGGTCAGGGGGCAGAGAGTCCGTTGTGGGCATCGTCGCGCAGCGCAGCCGGCGAGGAGAAGCGCGAGTGGGGGGAAAGGAGGCTGCCGTCGTCGTCGAGGTCCCTGCCGTCCTCCCTTCTTCCGAGGGGATGGAAGCCGCTTTCGTCGTCATCGTCGTCTTTGTCGTCGTCGCTGCCGTCCTCCCTCCTCCCTTCCCTCGGGGACGCTCGGCCAGGTCAGGAGGGTCTACTCACCATGGTACGGCCCAAGATCGCCCTGGCCAGCGGGGGTGGTGTGCAGATGTGCAGATGCCTCCTGCGCTGGGGCATCACAGCGTGGGCACTGCCCGCCATCCCTTGTGAAAGCACGCCGCGCCTCCATACTCCATACATGCTCGGCTTGGTTCGGCGAAGTGTGACCAGGATGTGCAGCGAAAGCCTTGGTTTCGGAAGGGGCTCGAGGTTTCTAGGGCCCGTCCTGATAAGGGCTTCGCCTTCGGCTTGGACTTTCGGTCATTTTCGTGAATCTGGGAGCAGCTGGGGCCTAACCTGGAACCCGCTCCTTTCACACGGGGTTCTAGAAGGCCATGCTTCGGCTTCGTCCGCGAGCGGGAATCCTGAAGCCCTCACCACTCACCAAACCACCCCAACCACCCCAACCCAACTCGAAGGCCTCAATTGGCCTCCCATTTCCAGTGGGGGGGGGGTCGGGGATCATCGAACAAACACATATGGAGCCCATACCCCCCTCCCCAACCCGAAAATCGGGTCTTCGGGTTGGGTCGGGTCACCCTCTGGGCAGTCCCCCGAGGCCCCCCCGAGGCCCCCCAGGGGCCTCCCCGCGGGGCCTCTTGCCGAGTTCGGGTGCCGTCGGGACCTTGGGAAGTATACAGGCTTTGTGTTGTACGCAAGCGTCGTGGTGGCTTCAGTCGTTTGTTGGGTCGTGGGTGGGTCGCGAGCGGGTCGCGGGTGGGTCGCGGGGTGGGTCGCGGTGGGTCTGGTGGGTCGCGAGTGGGTCGCGGGTGGGTCTCGAATGTGTCTGTGGTCGGGGTGCGGGGTGGGTCGCGGGGTTGGTCCTCGGCGGGCGGGTCGCGGGGTGGTTCGCCAGTGGGTCGCGGGTGGGTCGCGGGTGGGTCGCGGGTTTGGTCGCGGGTGGGTCGCGAGGTGGGTCGCGGGGTGGGTCGCGGGGTGGGTCGCGGGGTGGGTCGCGGGGTGGGTCGCGGGGTGGGTCGGGGGGTGGGTCGCGGGGTGGTCGCGGGTGGGACGACGACGACAACAACAACAACAACAACAACAACAACGCCAACAACAACAACAGCAACAACAACAACAACACCAACAAAGCCATTCACAGCAACAACAACAACACCAACAACCACAAGAGTCGCAGCAACAACAACTACAACAATAACAACAACACTCATCTTAATGTTGTTCGTTCTGATCTGCTCGCGCGTACCTCACCACGTATATCCCAACCCCCCGATACCCGTCCTCTCCGTCTTCGATCATACCCTTTCTGTGGGGGTACATCTTCCTGACCTGCCACGTGTATTGGGCGCAGCCCCTAAAAGAGCAAGAGGAGTGAGAAAGGAGAGAGAGAGAGAGAGGGAGAAAAGGAGAGAGAGAGAGAGAGAGAGAGCGACAGAAAGAGAGAGGGAAAGAGAGAGAGAGAGAGGAGGAAAGAAGTGGGGGAAGGGAGGGAGGCAGGGGACAAGAGGGAGGGAGCAGAACTGCGGACGAGAGAGATTAGAAGGTGGGGGGCTTAAGAGAGGATCCGGAAAACAAGCGGCAGACCCGGACGGTTGGATCGTGCAACGGTCCCCAACGGGCGGGTCGGGCGGGCGGGGCCTGCAGACCCGCGGGCGGACCCTGTCGGGCGGGTCGGGCGTGCGGGACGTCAAAGCACCCGGCGAGCTTCCAAGTGAGCCGCCGGGCCTGCCGTCACAGGCAAGTCAGGCGGGCGGCCTCAACGGGCGGGTCCGGCGAGCGGATCAAAGCGTGAGTCCTGAATGAATTGTGGGGAAGTCTCAAGCGAGAGCGTGCGGGTACATTTTCATTACTTGGCACGTGTAGTTGGCGCGGCGCAGCCCTTGAAACAGGGAAAGAGGGGAGACAGTAAGAGAGCCCGTAAAACAGGTAAAACAGGAGAAGAGGCGCAGCCCTTACAACAGGGAAAGAGAGGGGAGACTGGGCCACGAGGGGAGGGGCCACGAAGGGCAGCAAGAAGGCACAAAAAGGACGCGAGCGAGTCTGGGCCTGATGTTTCAGTGCAGTTCGCGGCCCCCGGAAGCACCAGCCCTTCCCCAAGGGCCGGGTTCCCCTCCTGCGAGCTGTTATTGCGAAGGCCTTACGGCCGGTGCCGCCGACCCTGAATGGCGACGACGACGACGACGACGAGCGCTCTTGGGGGCCTCTTGGGGGTAGTTTGTGGGCCTCTTGGGAAGCTCTTAGGGGCCGCTTGGAAGCCTCGTGGGGGCCTCTTGGGGCTTCCTGGGGGTCTCTTGGAGGGGGCCTGGGACGTCTTGGAGGCTTCTTGGACGGTCTTGGAGCTGTTCTTTCGACGGCTTCGGGGCCCGGCGAGGGCCCCAGGAGGCCGCACACGGCAAGCCCCGGCGTGCTTTTCCACGCTGCGAGCACGCCCGGGTCTCCCGCCGCCCCCGGGGGCCGAGGAACACCTCCCGGCCGCCGCGTTCGTGGCCGTGGATTACGAGTTCACGGGCATCCGCGGGCCCTGGGAGACCTCCGTCGCCCGGGGGGACGTGCCTCAGGCGCGGCTGGGGCGGGGAGGGCTCGCGCGAGGAGGAGGAGG